CGTTATTCATGTATTAAGAACCTAGTTCTTTTTAAAATAGTTGTGTGTTTTTTTCTTTCGTCTGTTTTTTTTTCTGGGTGTCGTTTTTTGTTTTGTTTTGTTTTGTTTTATTTTTTGGGTTGGGTTTTTTTTTGTTTTTTTTTTGGGGGGGGGGTCATTGGAGAAGAGTCACAAAAATCGATGTGCCGAAAAGTGGGAAGACATGGAATAACATCAAGAGGCTATCCCGTGATAGGGAAAGGTGGAAAGTGTTTGTTCGTGACCTATACCCTGACACAGGGTGAGAAAGGCAATGATGGTGATGCAGTATTTGCATACTGATTATGAATGTTAAAGGATGAAACTACACGAATAATAACCATTTAAATATTTCCGTATACTGCCTATTTGGTCACTGGAAACGATTCCTAAGTGTGATTATTCTCCTATCAGCAACATGAAATAGTCACTGCGTATGGCCGCTGACTTCATCGGATGGAAAAGTGCACTGATATCAATGATTGTTACGTGAAATAGGAAACATATTTATGTCGGCATGCAAAAATTTTTATTTCTCTAAAATACAAATTGTTGATGTTGGAGAGCAGGGAAATTTACTTTGGGACACACCTGGTACGAGAACCGTAAAGAACATAGAGCTTGCTGTTGAGTGGGAACTTGCGCTATGCAAATGCTGTCAATTATCTATTATTTTTTTTGTCCGTCTGTCAGTCTGTCTATCAACGGATGCACATTTATCCGTCACATTAATCATCTAATGTAGTATTATATCATTAAAAAACATATGTTTCGATCTATCCGTCAAACTGTCAATGAATTTATCTATCTAGACGGATAATATAGATTGTAAAGCGCATAGAGATTGCTGTTAAATAGTACATGTAGTTGCAGTAACAGTAGCAGTAGCAGTAGCAGTAGCAGCAGCAGTATAGTAGTAGTAGTAGTAGTAGTAGTAGTAGTAGTAGTAGTAGTAGTAGTAGTATCTTTACCAATACATCGAATTATTA